TGTTATATATTTACACCCTTGTGCAAATGAATTGAAACAACCGCTTTAGTTTCCTTTCTTTCAATATACGGTCAGTTTAAGACCCACTGGTGTGCCAGGGTGTAATCGATTTCTATTTTTCCCCCCAGATTAGGTCATTTGCAGTGGTGTGCAGTAATATGAGTGTATTTTTGAGCTGTATGATGAAATTTGTTTGGCCTTGAAAATATTGCGTCATCCGTGATTGAATCAGATTTTTATCACGCCCAGACACTATTATCTCGACTGACGATTAGTTGTCCTACGGTCATTGTCTGCAATGGACGTTGCTCTAAGGAAGCATACGACAATTTTAACGCTGCACGAACACACTGGCAAGTCTTACCAATGATCAAATCAAAGTACTATACTAGATCGGAAACTCTCCTGATTTAAATCCAATTGAAAATTTGTGGTGAATCTGCAAGGAACGACTTTGTGGAATGGACATACGAAGTACTAACATGTACACTGGGTCATGTTTTATTGGAAAAATATGAAAATAAAGTAAATAATAACGGAATTATTCATTTTGTTTTAATCAATTTGCACAAGGGTGTAGAGATCCTGGACAAAATCCGAAGAAGAATCAACAATATTATGGGTCTTGATCTGGTATCTCGGCTTCAGTCACTTTCCCACCTCCATGAATTTACTTTCCTGTGCCTTTTCTGTAAATACTTTCATGGAGTTCTGAACTTATGAATTTAAGTGCAGTACTAGATTGGCAGCTAGGTCTCATCGATATAAAATCGTGTTGGCTAGATGTAACCGTAAGTTCTATGTTAGCAGTTTATTTTCTCGCACTTCTCGCTTGTGGAACTCTCTTCCGGCTCCATACTTTTCAGCTAGTTTTAATCTGTTATATATTTAGAGATTCTTGATAAAATCCATAGAAGAATCAGCGATGTTATTGGTCCTGGTCCGGCATCTCATCTTCATTCTCTTTCCCTGTGACATTTCTATAAATACTTCCATTGTTTGGATGAGCTCTTTGTTATGGTACCTAGACTTTATGAATTTAAGCACAGTGCTACTGGCTTTTGGAACACTCTTCCGATTTCAAGTTTTCCCCCCAGATTAGGTCATTTGCAGTGGTGTGCAGTAATATGAGTCTATTTTTGAGGTGTATGGTGAAATTTGTTTGGCCTTGAAAAATATTGCGTCATCTGTGATTGAATCAGATTTTTATCACGCCCAGACACTATTATCGCGACTGACGATTACTTGTCCTACGGCCATTGTCTGTAATGGACGTTGCTCTAAGGAAGCATACGACAATTTTAACGCTGCACGAACACACTGGCAAGCCTTACCAACTTTGATCTTTAAAAAAATTAAATGCAATGTCAGTTGCTATCTAATATCTTCCTGATTCCTCTTCTATTGTTCTCGTCCCTTAGTAATCTTTCTGTTTTCTAATTCTTCCACACCCAGTAACCGTTTGTGTCTTAGTGGTTTTACTGCCTTGCGAGGGGGAGAATTCGATTTAAAAAAAACGAAAAAGAAATAGACTAGCCATAAAAAAGCATTTCAATCTTCAAAAATCTAAATTTAATGTCAATCCCTATCTACAGTTTTCCTGGTAACCCTTCTATCGCTCCTTAGTAAGGTTTCTGTTTTCTAATTCTTCCACACTCAGTAACCCCTTGTGTCTGCGTTGTGAGTGGAGAATTCGATTAAAAAAAATAGACTAGCCCACCAAATTAATCTAATCTTCAAAAATGTAAATGCAATGTTAGTTCCTATCTACTGTTTTCCTGATAACTCTTCTATCGTTTTTGCTCCCTGGTAATTTTTCTGTTTTCTAATTCTTCTACCCCCAGTAACCTCTTGTGTCTGGGTACTTTTACTGCCTTGAGAGGAGAGGATTTGATTTAAAAAACAAAAAACAAAAACAGTCTAGCCAAAAAAAGAATAAAGAGCGCCATCTAGCCCAGTATTTTTTTTCTTCCGGTTTAACAACTTCGTTCCATATATTTATTACTGATAAAATTATATTATAATATCGGCTTCGTAATGTTCATCCCAGTTTGTCCTAGATGATACAGGTTTGAGGTGTCTGCTTTTTATTTCTTTAGTTATTTTATATAGGTCTGCCTTGAAGCTAAAGGGCTGTTGGTTCATGAAAATACTTGATTATACAAAACAAAAATAAAATACAATAAAATAATCCTATAATAAAAGTAATTTTTTAAGCATTATTTACATTATTCGGATTATTGTCCTCATCTTTGTCGCCATATTTATTACAACATTTCGGCCTTTCAGTATCATTCTATATTTCTGAGATGAGGTATTATGTACACTATTTACATTATTTGGACTATAGTCCTCATCTTTGTCGCCATATGTATTACAACATTTCGGCCTTTCAGTATCAGTTTATATTTCTGAGATGAGATATTATGTACACTATTTACATTATTCGGATTATAGTCCTCATCTTTGTCGCCATATTTATTACAACGTTTCGGCCTTTCAGTATCTGTCTATATTTCTGAGATGAGGTATTATGTACACTATTTACATTATTCGGACTATTGTCCTCATCTTTGTCACCATATTTATTACAACGTTTCGGCCCTTCAGAATCATTCTATATTTCTGAGATGAGGTATTATGTACACTATTCACATTATTCGGACTATTGTCCTCATCTTTGTCGCCATATTTATTACAACATTTCGGCCTTTCAGTATCTGTCTATATTTCTGAGATGAGGTATTATGTACACTATTTACATTATTCGGACTATAGTCCTCATCTTTGTCGCCATATTTATTACAACGTTTCGGCCCTTCAGTATCATTCTATATTTCTGAGATGAGGTATTATGTACACTATTTACATTATTCGGACTATAGTCCTCATCTTTGTCGCCATATGTATTACAACGTTTCGGCCCTTCAGAATCATTCTATATTTCTGAGATGAGGTATTATGTACACTATTCACATTATTCGGACTATTGTCCTCATCTTTGTCGCCATATTTATTACAACATTTCGGCCTTTCAGTATCTGTCTATATTTCTGAGATGAGGTATTATGTACACTATTTACATTATTCGGACTATAGTCCTCATCTTTGTCGCCATATTTATTACAACGTTTCGGCCCTTCAGTATCATTCTATATTTCTGAGATGAGGTATTATGTACACTATTCACATTATTCGGACTATTGTCCTCATCTTTGTCGCCATATTTATTACAACATTTCGGCCTTTCAGTATCTGTCTATATTTCTGAGATGAGGTATTTATGTACACTATTTACATTATTCGGACTATAGTCCGCATCTTTGTCGCCATATTTATTACAACGTTTCGGCCGTTGTACGCTCTGGCCTTCTTCAGGTGTTTGGAATGTCGAACTAAACCCTTTATTTCGCTCACTGGGGTAGACTGTTCTAGTTCCGCGTGACATGTTTAATGGATGTCAGTTATCAGTTATCTCCTGTTAATTTCCCTCTGAAAGTTCTGCACTGCCTCAACCGGGTATTGAACTCACACTCTTTGGGTCCTGTCACTGGATCTACCTAACGCCTTTATCCACTGTGCCATGTGTCCTTGAATCAAGAAGAAGAAGGCCGGAGCGTACAACGGCCGAAACGCTGTAATAAATATGGCGGCAAACATGGGGACAATAGTCCGAATAATATAAATAATACCTCATCTCAGAAATATAGACAGATACTAATTTTCTATCCGTTGCTTAGATGTGGCACAAGGTCGAAAGTATGTGGCACCCAGTGAGGATCGAACTTACTACTCAGTCGTAATTGTTCTAACAAGATACACCACGTTGAGATGTCCCGAAAGGGGATGTGCCGAGGGAAGTTGAAAATATTTTCACGGTACTGACGATAAACCCACTTTAAAAAACACGATTCTGTGTCACATCTGGTTGCGTGAGGAAAAGGTGGTAAATACTCATAACATTTTGAGGTAAGGAAAACATCTTAAGACAAGGAAATTATAGCAAGCCAACAATGGTAATGGAAACATTTGGCATTCATTGACCGAACCAGCCAGTGTTACACGTGTTATGCTTTCCTTCACTCCCTGGCCATCGGGCTAGGATCAAAGTGTAGTATCTGTTCTCATAATCTCTTAAGGTAATTGTAATAGTAGATATTTCCTTACAAGGAAACCTTTGGCATTCATTGACTGAGCAGCCAATGCTACTTGCGTTATGCTTTCCTTGCTTTAGCACCCATGTATACTATTGATTCTTTCTTTCGTTCTTTCTTTTAATAAGGTGCTCTTAATTCGGCTTCTTTCTTTCTTTAGAATCCATGTTTATTATTGATTCTTTCTTTCTTTCTTTCTTTCTTTCTTTCTTTCTTTCTTTCTTTCTTTCTTTCTTTCTTAATAACATGCTCTTAATTCGGGATTTCTTTCTTTTAAAACCTCCGGCTTCTTTCTTTCTTTCTTTTGCATCCGTGTTTATTATTGATTCTATATTTCATTGTTTGTCTGTTTGTTTCTTTCTTAATTGCTTGCTTGTTTTTTCTTTCTTCTTTCTTTCCTTTCTTTCTGTCTTCTAATAACGTGCTCTTAATTCGTGCTTTCTTTCTTTTTGCATCTCCGGCTTCTTTCTTTTTTTTCTTTTTTTAAAATCCATGATTCTAAAGAAAGAAGCCGGATTCTTTCATTCATTCTTTTTTTCTTTCTTTCTTTCTTTCTTTTTTCTTTCTTTCTTTCTTTCTTCTTTCTTTCTTTCTTAACAACATGCTCTTAATTCGTGCTTTCTTTCTTTTTGCATCTCCGGCTTCTTTCTTTTTTTTCTTTTTTTAAAATCCATGATTCTAAAGAAAAAGCCGGATTCTTTCATTCATTCTTTTTTTTTCTTTCTTTCTTTCTTTTTCTTTCTTTCTTTCTTTTTCTTTTTCTTTCTTTCTTAACAACATGCTCTTAATTCGTGCTTTCTTTCTTTTTGCATCTCCGGCTTCTTTCTTTTTTTCTTTTTAAAATCC